ATTCTAGATATAAGTCCCTTGTCTGACATGTCATTACCAAAAACTTTTTCCCAATCTGTGGCTTCCCTTTTTACCCTGTTAGAGAAGTTTCTGGATGCGCATAGGGATTTGATTCTTAGAAGGTCCCATTCATCTATTTTATCTTCTCCTGGTTGTAAATTTTTCAGAATACTGGGAAGATTGTTTGTTTGTTTGAGGGAAGAGTTATAAATACTCATGCTGTTTCAGAATAATGTCATTAAAGATGTGACCAACCACTATTGTTGACACTCTCAAGACCATTTTGATCGTCACACTTCACCACACTGTGACTGTTCTCTTCACACCCCGTGACTCACCCTCCACCCCACCATGTGTGTGCTAAGCAAATTATTCAAGAAACTGATGAAAAAGTGGCATCAAGATTGAAGGAAGATGCATCACAACCTGCATTACGCAGATGAGACAACCTTGCAGGAGGACTTGAAGAAGCACGTATTGCAGAAAATCAAAGAATACATCCTTCAATATGGATTGCATCTCAACGTCAAGAACACAAAATTACTTGCCACTGGACTTATAGGCAGGATCATGATAGATGGAGAAAAGACTGAAACTGTCAGCAACTTCATCTTACTTGGATCCATAATCAACACCCGGCAGTCAGGAGATTAGGAGACATAATGCACTGGAAAAGTCTGCAGTCGGGGACCTCTCCAAATTATTGAGGAGTAGTGATGGCATTTTGAGGACTCAGGTGCATCTGATTCAGATCATGGTCTTTCTGATCACTTGCTTTGTATCTGAGAGCTGGATAATGGGTAAGGATGGTGGAAGAAGAATTGATGCTTTTGAGCTGTGGTTTTGGTAAAGAGTACTGAATAATTCCCATGGACTGTCAAAAGAACAAACAAATATGTTTTGGGCAAAGTGCAGACAGAGTGCTCCTTGGAGGCAAAGATGATGAAGCTTCAACTCTCATACTTTGAACATGTTGCTAGAAGAGGCTATTTCTTGGAGAGGGACATCAGGCTTGGAAAGGCAGAGGGTCAGCCAAGGCGAGGAAGACCCTCAACAAGGTGACCTGACACAGTGACTGCTGCGATGGGCTCTGCTGTGCCAGGAAGTGTGAGGATGCCACAGATAGGAAAGCCTTCAGATCTGCTGGGCCTATATAGGGTCCCTGTAGGTCATACTCGATGGCACCTAACAACCAAACAACCTCCACCCACTGTGATGTCACCTCCATCTACTGTGATGTCACCTCCACCGCACAATTATCACAGCCACCCCACTGTGATCGTCACCCTCCAGGCCACGTGACTCCAGCTCTTGCCTGCCTACTGTCTCCTTCAGCTCAAGCAGGGATGGGATGCATGGTGTCCCATGAGCCTGCAAATGTAACACTCAGAGTTTAACCTGAGCCTGACCACTGGAACATGCAGGGAGGAGAGGAGACAGCCTGGGGGATGGGGCGGGGTTGGCCTGGAGCCCGGAAGAAAGCACCAAGAACAGCAGCTTTTACTGCCAAAGGCCTTGACAGGAAGTCAGGCTGTGGGCTTGGTGCCAAGCCACGTGACTGCACTGTGACCTGTGACCACAGTTCCAGGCCTGTTCCACTCACAGCAGGGTGAGGGTGTGAGCGGGGCTTCAGAAGGGACGGCGCAGGCCTTGGGGACCACAGGGCAGTGAGTGGAGCTAACTGAGCGGGAATCCTGACGGCAGGTGGGCCTAGGGTAAAGGCCAGGGTGCTGCTTCTACAGGTGAGCACCTGGGGTTGGGGCGGTGCTGGAGGGCTGCCCTGCTGTGACAGCCCAGCGCCTCCTCCTTGGGAATTAATAATGTCACACCTCCAATCAGCAGCCAATCAGGGGCCCCCAGAGCTGGGGCACCCTGCAGTCTCCTGCATTCAGTGGGGAATCCAGGACACTCAAGGCTCTTGTGGTGGCAGCTGAGAGACTGTGGCTGGACAGGTACGTCCTGAGTGTTGGCCATGTTCCAGAACCACCTGGTCCTCAGGGCCATAGCCCTGCTGGAGTTCTCTTCAGTCACCTGGGCAGCTGCTCTGTTCATTATGAGAGGAGGCTTTGCTGAAACCTGTGCTTTGGACCTGGGATCTTGGTGATGTCTGAAGGGAGAGTACAGTGCACCTCCAGGGCCTGAGAGCAGTGAAGAGGGGCAGGGTGGTGGGAGGACGTGACACATATGTATAAACAACAATTTATCAAATTCTAAAGCAACCCCAGGAGGCAGGGCTTAGAGATGTGTAACGTGTCCCAGAGGCTTGGCCAAAGATGGGTGAGTGGGGTGCACCCACAGGTCTTTCTGACCGACTGCTCCCTCCCTGGGAGCAGAGCAGCGTGTCACCCAGCATCTCCCTGCTCCTGGGACATTGAAGTGTTCACAGGCGACGTGGGACACTCAGGTGGGCTCTCTCCTCCCCAGGGCTGTCAGCTCCCCCTAATGGACTTGGAGACTTCCGACCACAGGTCCACCATGGCCTCCTACCACATCCGCAGATACCGAGAGAGTGACCGCAAGCAGGTCCTGGAGTTGTACTGCTGGGGGATGGCCCAGTACTATTCCATCACTTTCCGCCACCTCCTGAAGCTGCCCCGCACGCACGTGCTCTTACTCGGTGGGCCCCTGGCTTTGTACCTGGCCTCAGGCTCCTGGGCCCTGGCCCTCCTGGCCGATGTGGCCCTCCTGGGCACCCTGTGGCTCCTGGCCAGGTATATCTGGCTCAACATTATGAACGAATCTTTGCTCACAGACATGGCAGACATCACCAAGGCCTATTTCAGTGAGCCTGGCTCCTGCTTCTGGGTGGCCGAGTGCAGGGAGAAGGTGGTAGGCATAGTGGCATGTCTCCAAGTGGGTGACCCCACCCTGCGGGGGAAGCAAGTGGAGCTAGTACACATGTTTGTAGCCTTGGAGCATCGTGGCCAGGGGCTGGCCAAATCCCTGGTCAGGACGCTCCTCCAGTTTGCCCGTGACCAGGGTTACAGGGAGGTGGTCCTGTCCACCACCATACTTCACCGCGTGGCCCATCGCCTGTACCAGGGCCTTGGCTTTCGCAGGACGCACACGTACTACGCGTCTATCATCTGGAGGATTGCAGCCATTCCCATCATCTACTTCGTCTGTCCGCTTCCCTCCGTCTAGGCCTGTGGGGGACAAAGCAGTGAGGGACACAGCAGTGGGCTGCAGCCTGAGCCCGCGTGTCCATCAGGACGGCATGGACGCCGCTGCAGTGACTAGCATGCCCTGCAGTCTCCGGGCTGAAGTGATGACAGCTTCCCCCTCACTCGCATCAGCACCCAGTGGAGGGATGTGGGCGTGGGAGCCTCTCCTCCACTCTGTCTTGTTGAGGTGTACGCCCGCTTCATCTAGTGCCTTGATGATGCTGCATTTAAAAAACAAATCAAAAGGACAATCTATGTCTCTTTCTATTTCATCACCGTGGAGTAGGAACCCCCTCGTAGCTGACCCTCCAGCGGCCGTGAATCTCACGAGAGGAGATCGCTCTGGGAGCCTCTGGTGGATTCGAAGCTTCTGGACTCCCTTGTGTCTTTGACCCTCTTCACTCATCTTTTGAACACTAGAGAGACTGGTGGTAGCTGTGCAGGGTTTGAAATGCCCCAGGGCTCTGGCCCCAGCCCTTGCTCCTCTGTCTGTGAACAGCAGGGTCTGCATAGAGTTGTGCCCTGTCCATCTCGATGCCCAATAGCGGGCCTGGAGCCTCGGCCAGGTCGGCGCCCCCGAGCTCATCCCCACTGGCCCATAGAGGCACACTGGGGACGCTCGCTGGTCATCTGGGTCCATTCTCTCCGCCCTGTGCATTCTGTCAGCCCTGTCCCTGCCTACTGTCCCCTCTCACGTCCTCTGCTCACTTTGGGTCCTGCTGGTCCAGCCAGGAGGGAGCAGCTGCCCTGACTGAGCTGCGGGCCTTTCACTGTTAGCTGACTGTGCCTGCAGGTTAGCGAGCCCCCCACCTCACCCCACAGTAGGACTCCTGGGCACAGCGATCTTCCTGCCTGCAATGCGATGCTGTGGGAGTCACGAGACCAGCAGGACAAGCCTCTCCAGTCCCTCGTGCAGGCTGTGTGTCCCCTGGAGGGGGCTCCTTGTGTGCTACACGGGGGCAGGCGTCCTTCTCCCGCCCGAGTGTCCTCTCCTGACCGTGAGCCGCTTGAGAGCAGGGACCTTGCCGACCCACCTCATGTGCAGACATGACTCAGTAATTGTGCGGGTGTCGGGTTGAACGAAGCCATCCAGACTGGCCTCCAGCTGGGTTCCTGGGTGAGTGGCCTGTCTGTCCCACTCAGTGAGGTCAGTGTGCGCCTGAGCCCCCCACCCCCGGCCCCGCGTGATTGGGACACAAATGAAATGCACGTGAGACATCAACGCCATGGCCTGCGTCAGGGAGAAAGTGCTCTTCCTACAAGAGATCAGGGAGGGGGCCAGGGAGGAGGCTAGGGGAGAGGCCTGGAGAGGAGGCCCGGGAAAAGGCTAGGGGAGAGGGCCGGGGAGAAGACAGGACAGATGGCCAGACCACCTAGAGGGCCAAGACAAGAACAGGGAAATGTGGAGAGAGGTCAGGTCGTGCAGAGCAGGGGATCGTCTGCCAGGACAGGGGGACTCACTTGGGGTTGAAATGTTTGGGAATTTGAGAGAAATGGTAGATGTCTCACAGTGCTGTGACCTAAATGCTCCTGAACCGTCTGCTTTAAATTAGTGAATGCTGAGTTGCTGCTCCCTCCTCCGCTCCCCCCACAAAAGTTTTTAAACCCGTAAACCGCCCAGTCACAGCCATGTAGTCAGAACTGACTACCAGCTGGACCATCCAGCAGGTTTTCTGAGGCTGCACATCACACAGAAGGAGAGCCCCCTCCTCCTTCCCAAGGGCAGCTGGGGGATTTGAACCACTGGACAGGGTGCCCTTGGGTTAGGAGCATAGCTTCCCACAGACCAGGCCCCCAGGGCTTCCTGAGGAGGCTGTGAAAGTCTGGAGGAGTGGGGTGCGTTTTCCCAGGAGCGTTGATGTTGTGGCCCCAGTCTGCCCCTTACTGCACCCCCACCAGCCACAGCAGAAAGGTCCACCCCGAAGGACAGCTCTAAGGGCACTACCCACAGCCCGGGGTCTGTAGATCCAGGTGACTTGGGGTGAGGTGACAGGACTGATGCTGGACACTGGCCTGAGGCATCTCCAGGTCAGAACCTTGGGCTGTTGGCCTAGAACTAACTGCCAGGAGTCACTGCACTGCTTGACAACAGGCCAGAGACATAGAGACAGAGGCACACAGAGAGGGACACAGAGACTGAGAGACAGACACTGCCTTTTCTGAATGGGGGTCTATGGGTAGAAGTTGTGGGAGTTCTTGAGTGCTAAGTGAATCAATTCAGTCACTTTTACAGAAAGAGATTTCTCCATTTCCCCAGAGAACTGGGTGAGCTCCACATGGCAGCCCTCCCCTCAGGAGATGAGGTAACCTGTACCTCCAGGAGGTGTCACTCTGGTGAGCAGGGTGACCATGAGTTGTAAGGGCCTGGACACCCAGGGCTTTGGGGGGGATGGAGTCCAGAGTTGTGTCAACTCTGGACTGCTTTGGTTTCTTGCTGGTTTAATTTTAAAACAATGGCCACCATGTGTCATGTCATTACTAACAAGGTCCTATGGCGACTGCACTGTCCTCCCCTTCTCCCTTCCCTTCCCCCATCCGTCCACAAGTCCTGCTCCCTCTCGGTCCCCTCCCACCTTGCCTGTGAGCCCTGTGGTTTCTATCTGGATAAACTTCCCTCTGTCTCCTCCTCCTGCCTCCAACTTAATCCGTTATGACATCCTGTTCTAGATGGACATTGGACCTAGACATCCAGTCTGATGTCCCTTCATTCAGGTTGATCTCCCCTTCCCCTGGTCCTTGTAGTGATCATGGTCTTTATGTCCAGGGTTGCACTGGTTTTCTGAAACACTTCAACTGGTATTCCATCAATTCTTAGAGTCTTCTATTTGGACAGCGCCGTGGGTGAAGTTTGGACTTCTTCCTTCAGCACTGCTGCTTCTGGATCATATGCTACTTCCTCAAACGTTTCAGTGCCAACCAATTCTATTTCTTCCTCTTATTTGAGGCTTCCTGCATCATTCGTGATTTTGCCCATAGATTTCTTCAATTCTTTCAGCTCGAGAAATATCAGACAGGTTCTGTTGCTGTCTGTTCTCCATCAACTTAACAGCAATACCCTGATAGGGAGTAAGCACGACTCAGAGAGTCAATCCAGCTCAATTTTATTGGAATCTGCAGTGCATTTATATGCGCAGGAAGAACAGATAGGGTGGGCTTGCAGACGTGGCACATGCAGATTGGTTATGAGAACCTCAGTCTCCTGCGGACCACTCCCACCCCAACAAATGCAACAGCCGTCTTCCCAGGTGGCGAGCTTTCTCAAGCCAGTACAGCCAAATACAGGGGATCTTTCTCTACCCCGTATTAAAGGTCGTGGGAGGCTTGCACTTATCACGGAGCTTAGGTGATCTGCCCTGGCCAAAGGTCCTCCCTTCCTCCCCAACATTCCACAACATGGTTCATTCTTTCTGCTTTTCCCACTCCAGCTCCTTGCATATTCCATTATAATAGATATCTGTCTTCTCTAGCTGCCCTTGGAAATATTTGGTCCAGCTCTCTAACCTCAGCATTCATTTACCTTCTTTGGCTTCTTTTCATTCCAGTGCAAGTTTCAGAGGCTCTCCTGCTGTTCACATGGGTTGTTGGGTTCTTCCCCTGCTCTGTGTTGTATGACAGTGCTTTCTTCGTGGATTCCTTAGTCTCATTCCACAACTCCTGATTTTTGTCAGTAGTATTCAGTGCATTAAATCTATTAATTTTTAATTGTGTGTGTGTGTGTGTGTGTGTGTGTGTGTGTGTGTGCGCGCGCGCATGCACCGAATCAGATCTGACTGGTACAGGAGGAGACTACCCCTCCTTCCCCAGGGGAGCATCTGGTGGATTTGAACCGCATGGCTTTAAGATTACAGTGCAGCTTCTTGCCACTGGGTCACCAGTACTCCAGCACTCATTGGGGCACTAATAAGATGCACGTGAGACATCAAAGCCATGGCCTGGGTCATGGAGAAAGTGCTCTTCCTACCAGAGGTCAGGGAGGAGGCCGGGGGCGGGGAGGCCGGGGGAGAGGCCAGGGGAGAGGCTGGGGAGAGGTCAGGGAGGAGACCAGAGAGAGGCCTCGGGAGGAGACCGGGGGAGAGGCCAGGGGAGGAGGTTGGGGAGAAGCTGGGGGAGAGATCATGGGTGAGGTCAGGTGAGATGCCAGGGAGAGGTCAGAAGAGAGACCAGGGGAGAGACCAGAGGTGAGGCCAGGGGATAGGCCAGAGGAGAAGGGCAGCAGAAGAGGCCAAGTAGAAGACCTGGTAGGAGGCCGGGGAGAGGCCACGTGAGGAGGTCAGAGGGAGTGGCCTGGGGAGAGACCAGGCGAAAGGCCATCACTAGAGAGCGTTCTGCGGCTGCTTCCTGAGGATCCAGGTGAGGGCCCAGGACCCCATGAGTGTGAGTTGTATGCAGGACAGTGGGACAAGGGTAGGGTACTGAGGACAGGACAGATAGACCACTAAGAGGGCCAAGACAAGAATGTGGACATGTGGAGAGAAGGGGGGCTGAGGGAGTCACGTTGGGTGGGCTTCTTTGGGGTTGAAATGTTTGGGAATTAGAGAAATGGTAGATGTCTCACAGTGCTGTGACCTAAATGCTCCTGAACCGTCTGCTTTAAATTGGTGAATGCTGACTGAGTTGCTGCTCCCTCCTCCGCTCCCCCCACAAAAGTTTTTAAACCCGTAAAACGCCAAGTCACAGCCATGTAGTCAGAACTATTCCCAGCTGGACTGTCCAGCAGGTTTTCTGAGGCTGCACATCACACAGAAGGAGAGCCCCCTCCTCCTCCCAGAGGGCAGCTGGGGGATTTGAACCACTGGACAGGGGTGCCCTTGGGTTAGGAGCACAACTTCCTGCACACCAGGCCCCCAGGGCTTCCTGAGGAGGTTGTGAAAAGCCGGAGGAGTGGGGGGTGCATGTTCCCAGGAGCATTGATGCTGTGACCCCAGTCTGCCCCCTACTGCACCCCCACCAGCCACAGCAGGAAGGTCCACCCCGAAGGAC